ACCGAGAAACACATCTAAGCCATGATAACACAAAAATTGCCTCAAATTTATCTGAATTTCATTCCCTAATTTCAAGATTTGATGTTATAATAAAAATCTTATCATCAGACAATAGACTATGAATCTGAATCTAGAAAACCCAGTACTTAACCGAGGCAAAAACATCATAAGAAAAAGAAAGGGGAAAAGGAGGGGAATAATAAGGGGTTGTTTGGTTCACTGCATATGGGATTACCGGGGGAATGGAATATCATTCCCCCATTTGGTTGGCCAGTAATCCAATTCTCCGGTAATCTTTTATTTCCAACAATGGATTTTTGGGTATATTATCGGGAATGTGATTACCTCATTCCCTTAGGTATTGTTGGATTATCGACGTTTTATACTAAAATGCCCTTAATTTTTTTCTTCAAAAATATCCTTCTTCTGTCGTTGAATAAAAAAATTATACGAAAGTTAAATTACAAATTTATCTTTAAACTATTTTAGAATTACAAAACAAATCAATAATTAGAATTTTTTATGAAGTTCAGATGTTAAAATAAAATTTTACCTTTTTATTAAACTTATTTATCTTTTCAATTTTATAAAAACATTATATAAATTTTATGAATTTAAAATTTTTAAAGAAAATATATAAATTAATTATAGTATAATTCAACTTCTTAAAAAATAAATATATAATAAGGATAATTTGGTAAATATATATTCCAATAATCTTTTATTCCTTTAACCAAACACAATAATCTTACATTCCTGTTGAACGAACTAAACACAAAATACAATATTCTCAGTAATCTTACTCTCCGATAATCTTTTATTCTTACTGATAATCTTACATTTCGTGAACCAAATTTACCCTAAGGGTAACTGGGCTATTTGATTCATACCTCAAAATCACCAATTTGGGAGCGATGAAAATATAAGATTAAAGTAGAAAATAAAAATGAATCCCAAATCTATATATTTGAAAAGAAAAGAAAAAAAAATAAAGCAAGGGAACTTAGTGACTGAGAGCACGGCATAAATATCACATTACTTCAAATGATTTTTAGGATAAAAACTACTTGAATAGTCACTAAACTATAAGAGAAATTTTATTTTAACCACTAAACTATAAATTTTATAAATTAATTCATGTAAACAAACTTTAAACTATTGATTTTTTCTAAAAATAATTTTACTGTACGAAAATTTAATTTATTTTTTATTAAATCTAAAATATTAAAAAAATTATAATATTTTTAATAACATTTTTTAAACTTAAATTAAGCTACCGCTCCTTATATTTTCCCGAACTTTAAATTGTTGGTTTGTTCAGAAAACTTTTTGCATAATGGGGTTTGAAAGAAGAAAAGGAAAATAACAAAAGAGAAGCAAGGAATAACAAAACCATGAATAACAACAGCCGTGGCGAAGAACATCAACGTAACAAAGAAAGCCTTGATCCCAGATTAAATCAAACCCTCGAGAATGTCCAAGGGTACCTCTTTTTTAACCATTCCAATTTCCCATTACTTCTCTTTTTTCTCAATGTTAATTCTAACTTCTTTTTTTACTAGTGTTTTTGCCCCTTGGATTTAGATTTAGATACCCAATTGACAAATATCTACGGATCTTTCGAATTTCAGTCTTATTCTCAATTCACGTGGAAGAATTTTCCTCTTTAGCGGGAAAACTTTGATTTCACAAAATTTTCCAATTAGGTTTATTGAGTTTAAATTGTGCGTTGATTGAAACCCCCTTTTTTGGAAGATGATTCTTTTATCTTTTCTGGAAGACCCCTTTTTTCTCTAGAAATGTCTGATTTTGGTAATTTGGTTTAAGTTTTAATTTGATCATGTCATTGTTGTTGGAGAATCATATAATCACATTATTCAGAAGAAATGTTACTCCTTTAGCTTGGTTTTTCCTGAGAATAGAAAGGATGGTTATGAATGTGAGAAGTTCATAAAGGTTATGGGGAAAAAATGTTACTAGCTTTAGACATACTTATCAATGATAACATTGCTGAGCATGGATTTCATGATGCCAATTGGCTGAAGCTTGATGTTAACATGGGTTGCAATTAGGTTACTCCAGATTTATTGCTTTAGCTGCAAATAATTATTTCTTTTGTGCCTCCTATTAAGGTTGCTTAAAGGTCGCAGTACTCCTGGTAAAGTATTATTGACCAGAAGGCCAGATCCATTTGAGGATTCAGGCTTACAAGAACGATCTCTCACTTATCAAAGAAGCATCTCGCACAATGATGCTGGCACAAATGATGACATGGACAAGTCTTTAGAGGTGAGGTTTAGAGTGAAAGTATTTATTATTCATTCTATTACTAAAATATCGAACACTGATTTATTCTTTTACTAGTGCGACTTAAAGTTCTTTAAAAGTCTGTGATATTCGTAACTGAAAAGCATTGATTTCAATTAGGGAGGGTCAGAAATACAAATAACTCAAATAGTAATACAGCTGTTAATAAGTCAAGATCTTCCAAGTAGAAGATTGAGAAAGCTGCCAATGAAGTTCAGAGCTCTGCAATGAGCACAAGAGCTACTGATTCTGCCAGGGTTACCAAGTTCTCTAGAGAGCTCTCAAGACAAACGGTCATTTTAGGTACCATATCTGCTTTGTTGCTTCGAGAATAATTTTAGAATCTATATAGATATGATTGTAGTGTTATTTGATTAATATGTCTTTTTTGAAGAGAGATTACGTGAGTTAGCTTAGAGTGGTGTTCCACCTTACATGCGTCATAATGTCTGGAGCCTTCTGTTGGTAAGCTCAGAACTATCAGTTTTAGGTATTAGGTGGACTTGAACTCTATGAATCAATTCATTACTCTTCTTGTCTGCAAAGGCTGTGATTTTTTTATGTAAAGTAATTATTTTTTGTTAATTTCTGCAATGGTACCACCTTTAATCTTATCAACTTTGTAAAATCCTCCATATAAATATTTCTTGTAAGACTCATTGGATTCTGCCAGAGAATATCCATTGGAAGAGGTTTAGATCATTATTTTACACCCACGGTAGGGTTATTGATGCATTCATTTCAAACAAAAGAAATTTGAAAGGAAAGTTAGTGTATCTTTGGCTAAATTCAAACCTCCTCAGTCTTTTTGGAGAAAGATCTCTACATCAATTCACCGTAAGTCTGGGATGGAAGGTGTTTCAAGGAAGAATCATTGTGAAGTTGAGGGTGTTATGGACGAAGATAAACTTCACGTGTTGAGTAAATGTCTAGTGGGGTGGTGTAAAGACTTTATCAAAATCGGTCATCTCGCTAGACAAATGCAAGCGAAGTGCCTCACTGGTTTCTCCTTAATGAGAGTTGTTGGAAATGTGGTATTAATGATTTTCAAAGACTCTGCTTCATTGAGAAGTGTGAAGAACGATAAATCAGAGACTCTCGTAAAGTGGTTCTCCAGAGTCGAAGCTTGGTCAGAGAGTTTGGTAGTGGAGTGTCGTCGAGTATGGTTAGTTTGCGAGGGTGTTCCTTTTCACGCATGGAATTGAGATACTTTCAAAAATATTGCTGATAAGTGGGGTTATTTATTAGCAATCAACGAAAGCTGTCAGTCACCATCATCTTTTGATCAGGTAAAAATTCAAGTCCTCACAAAGGCTGATGTGAGAATTGATGCGACATTGGAATTGAAGGTCGGTGACAACTCCTTCAAAATCATGGTGCATGAGATTGAGCCTTCATTCAAACCAAACTCTTGGGCCCCTGACGAAGACGAATCTCATTAGATCTCGTCTCTTCAATTGTGGCTTTGATTTAGTTTAAATGGTTACAGGTGTTGGTTTTCTTTTGTGTTACGTTCTTTTATGTTGTTTTTTATCCTATTACTGGAGGCGTAACTTAGAAATTAGGTGATTGTCTTATGTGGCTTTTTGGTGAGGATGTGTGAGTTTAAGGAGTTTGTTGTAATGGTGTATATAGGGTTGTAAATGAGACGAGACAGATCGCGAGCTACTCGAGATCGACTCGATCAAGGCTCGACTCGAGCTCGAGCTCGGACTCGACTCGAGCTCGAGCTCGACTTGAGTTCTTAACGAGCCGAAACGAGCTACTCGATATTCGACTCGAAAAGCTCGTGAGCTACTCGAAAAAATGTTATATTATAATTTTAGATTTTTTTAAAATTACATTATTAAAAATATATTAAAAATACATTATTGATAATTATAAATTTTAAAAATATATAAAAATTCTATAATACAACTACCCTCAAATTTTAATTTTTTTTAATTAACTAGCCCAATCCCAATTGTTACATTGTATATTACTAAAAGGAAAATAAAATTCTATTTAATTAAGCACATGTTAGATTACATGTTTTTGGTTGATTTTTTTCTTTATTTTTTAATTTTTTACTGCACAAGTACTTGACAACGTAGAAAAATAAAATAAAAAATAAGAAAAAACAACCAAACAATAGAACAATTGAAAATGGTTACAAATTATTTTTGAATAAATATTCTTATATTTATTTTAAATTAATAAAAAAATATTTATCTAATGACAAATATTTAATATATTTCTAATGATAATATTTTTAATAACTAATTTTTTAAATTGTTGTTATATTTTGAGGTTTCGAGTTCAAATATCATAAATATCAAGGGTTTGAGCATTTAATATCAAGATAATTTATTATACTTACATCATAAATCAGTATCAAGTCAATTAATTAATGTATTTGTAATGAACCCTAAACCCTAATTCTTAATCCCTAAACCCTAATCCTTGATCCCTACGTCATTAATTTGATTATGTGATAGGGGTTAAGTTATGCGCATGAATGTAACATACAAATTATGCAAAATGATGTTATGTTTCGTTTCTCGATGATACGCTATTAGTGGGGGAAATTTGGTAATGAAAACCATGAGAAGCACATCGTCTCGACAAACAAATTTGTTAAGGAAAGTAATCCAATTCTAGGTAAATCCAAACGAAAACTCGATGAACACACAGATTGAACTAACATCGAACACGTTCACAGATTGAGAAGTTATTAAAGGTGCAATAGAACATACGTTAAATGGAATGTAAGCATGTATGCCATTGACAGGACCAACGGTGAAGCCTGTATATCCGACCATTGCTCCATGAACTGCGACGTGAGCAAGTAGGGCGGAGACGCAGTAGAAATTATCCGAAGCGATGCTAGGAATAGCCCGGATCATGTATGTAGGATCTGCAAACCAAATTTCTCAAGTCAAATTTTTGCACGTTATTTAAAAGGTTGAATTTAACAATAAGTGCGTGAAATGTTAACCTATATATTTTCTCTGAGTCGTTTTTCTATATATTCATGTAGTCCACCTCTTTCTTTGAGATAGAGTAAAACAGAAAGTGTTGGAGTTTGGGTGGAATGAATGGAGAAGAAGCTGATATACAGTGGGGTTTGTCTTTGAAAAATTGTGTGTTGGCAGCATTCATGTGAGCTGAGCTGAGAAAGCAATTGAAAACCAGGTAGGATCGTTATCCGACTTAGATTGCCCACGTCAAGCATTCACTCAACGCCGCTTTTTCCGAGGTTCTGTTATGTTCTGCTGCGCCATAAACTAGTGGCACCCGAATATTGATGTTTCGATTGTTTGGTATCTTTATTATCGAACCAGGATTTGGAAATATTTATATATCGAATTATATAATTATAATCTATAAGAGATATTGGAAGTGTTTGAGTATTATATATAATCTGCAATATAAACACTATTGTTTTATGATTTCAATTGCGTAATTAGTTTTTGGAAGCAGTCAGCTGGTGGCTGAATGCATTGTCAGTATCCCACATCGTTGAGATACAAAGAGACGACGATAGAATCTGCTTATAAAAAAAGCGGGTTTCTACATTAAAGTTTTATATCTATCTCGGCCTTTTACATAAGATCAAGTGTAGAATTTTTTCTTATCAGTTAATTTTGTTACGTTAGCCAATGTTATTAAGATATTAAATTTATCAGAGTAGCTTGGTACTGAGACTCGGGTTCACGAGCGTTGTATTATAGCTCCGAGCTCAAAATTGAGCCAATTGAGCTTGACTTTTGAGTTTCAATTGAGCTTGAATAGAGTTAGAGCGTGAATGGAGTTTAATTTTGCATCGAGCTTGAGCTTGCATCAAGCTTTAATCAAGTTGAGTTTTGAGCTTTAATCGAACTCTTGAAGTTTTTTTTTTTTGAGTTTAAGTTTTTTTGAGTTTGAGTTGAGTTTTAATATTTTTTTTCGAGTTTGAGGTTTTCGAGTTTTCGAGTTTAAGCCTTTTTGAGTTCGAGTCGAGCTTTAATATTATCTTTCGAGTTTGAGGTTTGCGAGTTTTCGAGTCGAGTTTACATTTAAAGTTTTTGAGTTCGAGTCGAGTTCGGCGATACTCAAGCTCGACTCGGTTCGTAACCTCTAGGTGTATATCACCAATAGGAGATATTCTGTGTTTTCTTATTTATTGGGTATTATTATTAATAAACAATGATATACTATTTTCTTTCTTCCAATGTTGTTAACATACTTCTTAGTATGTTAACATACTTCTTCCAATGTTTTAGTATCAAATATATTTGTTTTAGGAGTTTTTTTTTATAAGAATTTGAGGCCTAATTAAAAACCCCCTTCATAATCATCAACATACGAAAACGTATGTCAACGAAAATTGAAAGGAGGAAAAGTGTACCTCATGATTTATTAAATAATATAACCATTACAACTTGTATGAAATAACACCTTAAAAAGATACACACACCACATCTAAACCATAAATTCTCTAAATCGCCCTTAAACATCCAAATATTACAAAGTCAACCCTATCCGATACCCACTCACACCTATCCCAAGCCTCACATTCACTAAAAACCAAAAATATTCGAAAGCAGTACATAAATCCATTAATATGATAAAAACACAACCGACTCCTAACGGCAAACCATCTACATCTTGGAGAAGCAACACACTCCAAACAATTAAAACTCCTTCCAAAACCGCTAACAGAATAAAACCGAATATTCGTCCGAGACAGTTAAGTCACTTCATCCTTTTGTTTGCTACTTTCAGATTCATGAGGTTTTTTTTCTTTCCGCACTTTGATCCCTTCCGAATACTCTCTCCCTGCAACTGGTTAGAATCACCTATTGCCCCACTACTGAGACCTTCTTCCAGGGCATTAGACTCAACGTTTTAATCTGATCGATCGAGGGTACAAGGTAAGGAATATTCCAAAATTGAACATGGCCTTGAAGTTAAACACATCTCACCACCATTGGTTCCACCGCCAGGTACAACTTCTTTCCCAATCTGATTCGACAAGTTTTCCATCAATCCAAGTGGAGAGGAACCTGGTGTAGCCTCAGGGGAACATCGACCAGTGAGTGGAGCTTCAATTTCAGTATTAGAGTGTAACACCTCAACCCGTATCCAACCCAGATCCGAGTCTGAGGTGTCACATTCACTTTTCAAACATTTTTCTTTACAAAATGACTAAACTTTAAATTCCTAATTCAAGAAAATGATTACTTTTCATTTATTTAAAATCAATTGGTTTTACAAAATATATCAGAGCTTATACAAATTAAATCTTTAGACTACATGCCAACTACATTCTATATAACCAAATACATATACTCAAATACAATTCTGATCTGATCTGTGGAAAGGAGAATCTGACCTGTCTTGCTCCTCTTCGCTTCTCTTCCCGCTTTCTGGAACCTACATGTGAAACACTCACACGTTAAGTCTATGACTTAGTGAGGCATATAAAACATTTAATATAAACTATAACTTCTAACAATGAATGCATGTTTCATGCTATCATATCATACAACCTCATATCCACTTTCATAAAATAAATACATGCATACAAAATAACATCATATCATATATGAGTGTTTACTATTTCATATTCTTATAATCATTTAATTTTACACCACTTAACTTATATCACATTCTATTATCATCATTTAAGTTGTTTATTTACATAATTCCTAATCATATAATTTCACTCACAATTTCACATATCTTATCTCTGATTTCCATATGTTTCTATTTAACATTTAACCCATAAATTCTCGTTACATATTCTATATCATATTATTGTATACTAATTTCTTATATTCTATTAATTTATTTTTCACATAATTTTGTTACATAAACATATATTTGCATAACTTATTGTTATTTGATTCCCTTGATGTTCTCATATGGTTTCTTAGGTCCTTATACTAAATTTCATATCACTTAAGAATTTAATAAGGTTAGATCACGGTTCTATTTAAACGTATAAACCTTCCTACACAGCTTATCTAATATACTCTTATACTTATTTATATACTTGTTTCCTAGTTAATATACTATCTACTTTATCTCAATTCTCATTAGTCATATAGTCCACCACCTCATTACCTATATATATATATATATATACTTATAGAGTTCACTATATTTCTCAAGTAATTTCTTATAACATATCATATAAGTTTATTATATTCTCTTATATCCAAATATATCATACTAACATGTTTCATATAGAAACTATAACATATGCAATAAATGAAACTCATACACTCATATCCAAGTACTCAATCACATATAACAATCATATTAAGTTTATTTATATTATTTCTTTATTAGCCCATGTACACTTTTGAGAACTAAAGATATGTGAGTTTCTTGAGGTTGTGCACTTATGTTGTCATCACAGCTCGTATAATTCCCACTAGAGGCACTTAGAATTTGTCCCGAAGGACCACTATGTCCCGAAGGACCACATATCATATATGTCCTAAAGGACCACTCCTTAAGAACCATATACATAATACAATAGACCAAATAAGTGTATCGAAGTACCACATATATGTTCCGCAGAATTACATATATGTCCCGAAGGACCACGTAGAACCCTCAACTCTTGGCATACTAACTATACCTCTAGCTCTCATTACATAACATGGGCATTATCATTTATCTTATTATACATTCACACATTAATATCACATAGTTATTTCACATAGCTCTTTATCACATTTTCATATGATCACTTAGTCACGTAGTTCACTTCCATATAATTCACATATCTCATGTTCATATGATCTCTTATGTTCATATCATCGATCTTATAACAAATTCTTATATTATCACATATATCATTTATACTCATTTATAATTACATTAACATGTACTCACTTATATCATATAACATATAACACATACAATCATATTTAAGTACTAAGTCACACACCACAATCATATCAACACATTATCAATTTTAATCACATAATCTATGTCATACTTATGCACATATACAAATCCTAACAAACACATGCTTGTATTCATGAATTCATACACTTTAATATGGAAATAGACTCATCGCAAGTCTTATTTCCATAAAACTTTGTATATCTAGTAGTAAGCACTCGCTTGGCCTCACTAGTCAATACCGATCTCTTATCTTATCCTCGATGATTATTACTTGTCAACTTGTCTGAACTTTGCTCTCGATCAATCTTACTTGTCAATTGTTCTGGAACTTGTTTAGGCTCAATATCTACATAAATATAATTTCCAGGACAATTATCAGAAGCCTAAACATTATAACTCGATCCTTAACTATTTAATGAACAAAATTTCCATTTTTTCCTTAAGTGGCATCGATACCCCTATGTATGGTACCGATACTTCCTTTTAGAAGGGTATCGATACACGACTGTGGTATCGGTACACAATTTAAATTCGATGTTTACATGTATCGATACCTGACTGATGGTATCGGTACCTATGCTATCGATACCCCTACTTTAGGTATCGATACCTTATGAAGATGTTCTTCAAAATTGGTCTTAGGGTATCGGTACACATTCATAGGGTATCAGTACCCCTTGCCCAGAACAGGCTGTTTCACCCGAAAAATCATTAACACTTCACTAAATTTTCATATATAAAGCTTTTTTATTACCACCAAACTCAACTATAAACATTTTAACTAACTTCTATCATTCCAACATCTTATTATCTTCCATATATCATCCAAATTCTTAAAACTAAGAATCTCACTAAATTTTCCATGTACTCCAAACTTCGTTCTAACAATTATAACTTCTTATTTACACCTATGACAAGTCAAATTCAACTTCCAAATTC